CCAGAGGATTGAGTTCAAGATCTTCGTCCTCACTTTCAAGGCCATCCATGGCATCCCCCCTCCTACCTCTCTGATCTGCTGACTCCGTACTAACCTGCTCGTTCCCTCTGTTCAGCGGGCTCCGGCCTGCTCCATGTCTCCTGCCCGACCCGCCCTACCATCGGTGGCCGGGCTTTCAGCCTCTCTGCCCCCAAACTCTGGAACTCCATCCCACGGTCCATTCACCTCGCTGCCTCCCTTGCCTCATTCAAGGCCGGTCTCTTTTCGATCGTGCCTTCGGTCGCCCTCCCACCTCTCTGCCTTCCCTCACCCCTACCCCACCCCTTCCCCATGCTCGGACTCCACACCTGACTGTTCAGCGTCTTGGGATGTCCTCCTGACGTGAAAGGCGCTCTATAAATGTAATTTTGTTGTTGTTATTGTAGTACCCCCACCCTCCCTGCCTTCCACCCCTCCCGATCATAACCCAGCTTGGGTCCAAATCCCTGACTGTACAGAGCCTTGGGACGTCCTCCCGACGGGAAAGGCGCTTGTAAATGTAATTTGTTGTTGACTTTAACTCGGAGGAGAGATTGCTATTGACTGTGTCAGCCTAGATGAGGAACTCAGCGCCAACCAGGGAGACACCAAAGTTGGGATGTTCTCATCTGAATGGTTTTCAGTGGGATAACGTTTTTGCCAGCCGAGGTGGTTTGTAGCCAGATGTCTCCGTAAATACCCATTATTCAGAGTGCAAACACTTCTCAAAGCCACGGAATTGCTTAACAGAGACACCAAGAGTTTCTGAATGTGTCACCAGCTCACAGCAATGGGAGGGAGATCTATTGGCCTGCAATTTGTTACAGGAATTGTGCAGCACCCCCTGCTGGTAACATCGAGTACGTCACTTTGACCTGTCAGTACCTGCCCGGCTCACCTTGGAAGCACTCATTTCTGAGTCAGAAAGTTCAAGCCCCACATCAAGACTTGGGCTCTTATAGTCCAGGCTGACATCCCAATACAGAGCTGGGGTGTGTGTGCATTTGTGTCTGGCGATGCACTGTCAAAGGTCCTGTCCGTTGGATGAGATGTTTAAACCGAGGCCCTCTCTGCCTGTTCAGGAATGCTGGAGACCCCGGGGCACTCCTCGAAAAGAGAGTTTCTTCAAGTGTGTTAAAACCACTCCACATTGTTCAGGACTGAAAACCCGGAAGTAGTTGTGCTCCGGTGATCGAGCAGGTAGGTAGAGAGGAAGAACCGACAGGAATGTTGAGTTTAACACCACACAAAGGTGTGTCACCTTTATTACACAAAGCAAAATTGGTATATTTACATCACTTTACAAAGTCGCACGACAAGGAAGGAGAGTGCACAATAGCAGAGAGCTGTCCCAGTGTCTCCAGCACCTTTCAGTGCCTCGGGACCATCGTCTCGACGTGAAAGCCGATGTATAAATGCAATTTGATGTTGTTAACCCAGTATAGGCACCAATACAATTGAATTCTCCCTACCACCCGTCCTCACAACCACCACGTGTTTTCTTTTACAAACCTATTTTGTACCGAAGTCAAACACATGAGAAATTAAATTAAATTGCCTTGAGACCACGGCCCCCCCACAAATTTAAGACTGTAGAACATCACTGGATTGAAGCGTTTGGATGAGTCTCACAGTCTAATCCGACTCTCCTGCTCGCCCCCAGCAACCCTTTAATATTCCAATTTATTATTAATAATACTTATCCTTGCATTTGACATACTGCCTTATAACGTTATTGAGACGTCTCAAAGTGCTTCACAGAATACCTTGTAAACTAAATTGACTGTCTATTGACTGTAATCCATTGAATACGGGAGAGCTGGTGGGGGACTGGGGAAAGGCAGATGCTACTCCTATTTTTAAGAAAGGTAACAAAAGTGATCCAGGAAAGTACAGACCAGTAAGTTTGACGTTCCTTGTAGGTAAAATTATGGAGACTCTTGTTAAGGATAAAATCATGAAGCATCTGGACAGAAATAAAATCATAAATGATAGCCAATATGGATGGGTTCATGAGGGGAAGGTCTTGTTAATCTAATTTACTAGTTTTATTTGATTGCGTAACAAGAGAGGTTGATAAGGGTAAGGCTGTGGATGTTGTAAATTTGGATTTCAGTAAGGCCTTTAATACAGTTCCTCTTGGGAGAATGCTACTGAAGGTAAATAAAGCAGGAATCAGTGGAGATATGCAATGGATACGCAATTGGTTGACAGGGAATGTCATCAGATTAGGAAAATGTTACCAGTGGATTTCCACAAGGGTCTGTTTTGGGACCTCTTTTGTTTAATAATTTTATAAATGATCTAGAACTAAGAATCGCAAGCACAGTGGCTAAGTTTGCAGATGTCACCAAGCTAATGAAGGTGGTAGATTGCGAAGCTGCTCAAGATAGGCTGCAAGAGGATTTGAACATAGTTCGGAATTGGGCAGATTGGCGGCAGATGAAATTCAATGGGGGAGAAATGTAAAGTACTTCACATGGGGACAAATACCCCGAAAGGGACTATTATTTGAACGGAAGAAAAATAACATGCATAGAAAATGAAAAGGACCTCGGGTCCTGATTGACAATAAATTGAAGCTCTCCCAACAATTCTCTGTGTCAGTGACTAAAGTAAACCAGATGTTGGGATGTATCAAAAGATCAATAGCAAGCTGAAATAGTGGGTGAATCCTGCCATTGTATAAATCATTGGTGAGACCATATTTAGAGTACTTTGTACAGTTTTGGTAGCCACAGTAAAAAATGGACAATCGAGAAGATATAGAGGAGGGCAACCAAAATGATTGAGGGAATGGAAGGACTAGACTATGAGGAGCGACTAAGTAAATTGCGCATGTTCACGCTGGAAAAGAGAAGGTTGAGAGGCAACATGATTGCTGATTTGAAGACTCTAAAGGGGCTACACAATATAGATCACGACGGGCTGTTTCAACTTGTCCAGAATAGTAGAACCAGAGGACACGGCCTGCGTTTGAAGGGGGGAATCTACAAATCTATTCAAAAACTATTTCAGTGAGTGAATAGTGAACCTGTGGAACAGACTCCCTCGGGAGACAGTTGAAGCAGGAAGTGATGGACTAGATGGACCTTGGTCTTTTTCCGACCAGCATATTTTATGTTCTTATCTTCTTAACATAGAATCATAGGAACGGGTGGGGAGGCCATTCAACCCATCAAGTTAATGATGCTTAGTAAATCAGATAAGCAAGGGGAGAAAACTGGAATAAAGATAGCAGGAAAGCAGAGAGAATTTAAACCCCAGGTGAAGGTGGAAGATGAACTTGATGGACTTTGTTCTTTTTCGTCTAGCATTTCTTATGTTCTTATATTTTATGGGTGAAATGTGGCAGCCACTTATGCACAGCAGTGTCCCACAAACATGGATTGAGTGACCAAATTATTGTTATTAGTTTTGGGGAGGGATTACCCCGGAAAGCGATCCGCCAATCACCTAACAACTGGGTTCCTACTTGCTGCTAGGTAAACAGAGGCGTGTGGAGTAAGGAAACGTGCCTAAGCATTCGCCCTGCCCGGGAATTGAACCCAGCTCCTATCGCATGCGAGGGAAGTCCTCTAACCACTATGCTACGAGACTCCACAATTCAACAATTGTTGAATTCCTCCCTCTCCTAATTGTGGTAACTCCCTGGGATATGGTTCCAAGTTACCTGTAGTTCCTTGTCTGAGTGGACAATCCTGAGAGATAGCAAGGTGGGAGGGTGAGAGAGAGTGCAATCTCATCCCCATCCCATGACCACAAACAATCCCCAGGCAGCCCTAAGCCAACTGGACCAGGAGCAATGAATTCCTCCCCTTCGCTAGCCTGGTAACACCAGTGCTCCAGTACAGTGCTGGGGAGTGTTGCATTGTCGGAGGCGTCGTCCTTTGGCTAAGACGTTGAACCGAAGTCCCGCCTGTGCCTATTCAGGTGGACGTTAAAGACCCTGTGCAAAAAGGCTCGATGCATAAACAGAAGGGAGATTCTCCAGTATCCTGGCCAGCAATGCCTCAAATAAAATTGGTCATTTATTTCATGGCTGTTTGTGGGTTATTGCTGTGCTCAAATTGGCTGTTGCGTTCAATTAGAAATAGACAGTTACTTCACTTTGCAGTAAATCCTGTGAAGTGCTTTGAAGAATCTTCCTGATGTGAAAAGCCCTATCAAATGTTGATTATTATTATATTGGTTCCCACTTGTTCCAAACATTCATCACCGCTTCACTTGTTCCAAACTTCTTAATTTGGAGCATATTGTTTTAATGCTAATCTGCTAAAAATCATTTTCAGAAGAACAAATTTATAATTATTTAGGGTTTTACCATGTTGAAACCAGTCAAAATGCTTTAGAAGTATTTAGTGTTTAATGATCTTGTGGGCAGCCATTGTGCATATCAAGTTACACAGTCACGACACTTCACAGTAAATTCCCATGAAGTCCTTTGAAATACCTCAAGGATGTGATAAGGCGCTCCGTTAGGGATTTTTATCATAACCTGGAAGAATGGCGGGTAGACCAGGGCAAGAGGAGAAACTCACTTTTCTTTTCTAACGGTGTCACAGGATCTTTAATGTTTAATGGGACCTCGGTTTAAACATTTCATCTGAAGGACGACACCTCCAATAACTCCACAGTTATCACCCTGAAACTGTGGGTCTCAAAGTCCCGATAGGGAGTCATTGAACCCGCAAATGTAATCCAGAGTGAGAGCGCGATTGTCGTGATGGTCCAACCTTTCAGCTGCCCTTATTGAGAAATGTTCGCAGGCCGCAAGGAGCAATATTTTTGTTCTTTCCTTCCACAAACATAACATTTACGGATTATGTAGGGAGCAGGTGGGCCAGATGAAAATAAGGGAGGGGGTGGGGCGATGAAATCGATGCCCGGGCCGGATGTGGCCCGCGGGCCGCCAGTTGGACCACTCTGATCTAAGCCAAGCACTGAACATCAAACCATCACATGTCGATAATCGCTGGACAGAGGATTAAACATAGCCTTTTATTGTGGTTAGAAACTTTTCAGTGCAGCAGTTTAGTGTTGGTTTGCAAGGCCGGATGATATCAACTCTTCAATATCACGAGCGAGTCAACACAACAAGTTTGCCAAACCTTTTGTAACTTTTTCTTAAATATTAGATGAGTTTTTCCACTTTATTTTTTCAAGGTTTTTCTTTAACGAAGTATAAATTCCTCAAAGACTAGATTTCTAAAATCTGACTAGGATTAGATAGAGACGTATGTATATATAATATATATCGCTGTGTGAAGTACCAATTTCGGACATCGTTGATTGTGCAATAAATACATTCCCAAACATAAAAAAAGGAGAGACAATTATTGAAAATTGGACGGACAAAAAAAAATGATCAAAATACCCAGGAGACAAACAGTCCCTGTCTGACAACCACCCACCCACCCACCTGTCGTGTTATTTACTCCCACCAAAATTCACCTATTCTCATCTGAATGCTTTTTTATGTATTTATATATTAAAAAAAATTAGGATCTTTTTTCCCTCTCTCTAGTTCTCACCCATAGACAGTCCCCAGAGGGGATAACTGCCTCCTGACTTATTGTGCCTCGACATATAGAAATGCAATGTGTTCTGAACATTTTCGTTCAACACAGCAGCCAACAAGATTTGTGGATAAACTTCAGCAAAGGTTAGACTGCGATTTAGAATATCTTTTCAACTTTCCTTGACGTTTAGATCTGATTTGTGTTAAGCATTCCTTTCTCTCTCCCTCTCTCTCTTCCACCCCCTCCCCCCATGTTAATTTACCCTCCCATGTATTTAAGAGTCTATCATTGTCAGCTTGGCTTAGGACAGACTCTGAATATTCAGGGCGAGTTACGTCTGTGTAGACTGTCTCTGTAGGTAACTGAAGCTGTGCTTTGGTATGTAATTGATCACTGCTGTTTTATGTTATGTACATTTCTGCCCTCGGCCTCATGAAAGAGATTGTCAGTCAAGTACCGAACATGCAAAACTCAGGTACGCGTTATTCCATTATCTCCAACTCCACATCATATTAGCTTCTCAGCTCCCCCTTCCCCAGAGTCCTCCCTCCCCCCTCCCCTCCCCCCTCGCCCCACACCGCTCAAGGCCGCTGGTGTTTAGCCAGAGTCCATCGTGAAGAGTTGGATTTCCTGCGGGTTCCAGTACAGGCCGACTGCGGAGTTATAAGCCAGCGACCAAATGTACGGCACGAAAAAATCCTCTGGCTGCTCCTCCTCCACGTACTTGAACTTCAGTTCTGGGAATTTCTGTGGTGAAAAATTAGATAAGTAAAGGGTAAGCGATGTGCCCTCAGCGCCGTGTGAGAAGGTTGTGCTTTCATACTCCACGACAGGAACTTTTAGCTCACAGTCTAACTTGACACTCCAGTGCAGTGCTGGGGGGGGAGCGTGCATTGCCGGGTGAGCTAATACACTAAGTTCCTCGCCTTCAAGGCCCTCCTTGCTCCTTCCTACCTCTGTGACCTGCTGAGCCCATATCAACCTGTCCTCTCCCTCCACTCAGTAGGCTCCGACCAGCTCCACGCCCCCGCTCGGCCTGCCCCACTATCAGCATGTCAGCCTCTCTGCCCCCATCCTCTGGCACTCCATCCCACAGTCCTTTCACCTCGATCCGTCCCTGGCCTCCTTCAAGGCTCGTCTTAAAACCCTCCTCTCCGACCGCGCCTTAGGCCACACTCCCTACCTTCCACCCTCCCTGCTCCCAACCCCCTGCTCATGTCCAAATCCCTGACTGTCCAACGCCTTGGGACATCCTCCCATCATAAAATGTAATATTGTATTGTAAGGTTCCCACCTGTCTGTTCAGGTGGATGTTAACGATCCTATTGCAAGGCTCGAAAGGGAAGAGAAGGAAGTTTCTCTCTCCCGGTGTCCTGGCCAACAATCCCCCAGATCATTTACTTGTGGGACATTGTTATTTATCTACAAAATTTACTGCACTTAACAGTAAATCTTGTGAAGCATTTTCAGACACCAAATAAGGTGTTTTCAGATGCAAGGATCATTACAGCAATAACCAGATCTGTCGGAAACGCACCTTTAATTAACACACCTTATGTAATAATAATCCTTGCATTTCAAATAATGCTTTATTGTGTCTTCGAGTCCTGTTGGGACGTCCTTCCGACATGAAAGGCGCTATACAAATGTAATTTTGTTGTCGTTGTTGCCTCCAAGCGCTTCACAGAATATACTGTAATGTGAATTGACCGTATATTTTGTGGGCGAAACGTGGCAGCCAGCCGTGTACAGCGGTGTCCCACAATTATTGGTCAAAGTGAGAGCTTCACAGAAAAGGTGTGAGGCAGGAATTATCGCTCACCCACCCAATAATTAGGCAGGAACAGACGATGGCTCCATCTCACGTGCAACCTGCCTAAAGCTTCTTTTGACCGGTCATAATAACACTGAATCCTTTGTTAGTTTCCACGAACTGATATGGTTTCTCAGTGGAACCTTGTTTTGGTTCCTTGTTCTGTTGTCCTGCCACTTCTTTGTCTATTGTTAGCTCAACAGACTCTTTCCCCATTTATTATCATACAAAAGCAGAAGCAAAAGACAGATTATAGACATGCACCCTCCAGTGTTACAACCGGTCCAGCTAACCTTGGGTTAGGGGAACACTTAGCGGTGTTCCTACCCCATAGGCTTCCAAGACCATTTTGTTTTAAAACGGAACTTGCTCCTCCCTACTCGTACCTCTGTGACCTGCTAACTCCATATCGTTTTGACCGCTCAACTACAACAACAAGATTCCATTTATAGAGCGCCTTTCGTGTCGGGAGGACGTCCCAGGGCGCTGGATAGTTGGGTCGGGATCCCAGCAGGGTGGAAATGGTCAGGGTGAGGGGAGGGAAGGGATGGAGCGAGGAGGGGGTTGAGAGTCGAGAGGGGAGGTGAAGGCACGGTTGAAGAGAAAGGTCTTGAGACCGGCCTTGAAGGAGGAAAGGGAGGAGGCGGCGAAGGCACTGGAGGATGGAGTTCCAGAGCCTCGGGGCTGAGAGGCTGTAGGCCCGGCCACCGATGGTAGGGCGGTTGGGGCGGGGGATGTGGAGCAGACCGGAGCCAGAGGAACGGAGGGTATGGGCGGGTAAGTAGGGTGATAGTAGGTCGGAGAGGTAGGAGGGAGCGAGGCCGTGAATGGCCTTGTAGGTGAGGATGAGGATCTTGAATTCGATCCTCTGGGGGATGGGGAGCCAGTGGAGGCGAGCGAGGGTGGGAGTGATGTGGTCCCGAAGCCTGGTGCGGGACAGTACACGAGCCGCAGAGTTCTGAAAGCTCAGCAGGCTCTGGGCTGGTGCACGTTCCCCGCCCACCCCACCATTGGCAGTCAGGCCTTCAGCCTCTCTGCTTCACCCTTTGGAATTCCATCCCACAGTCCCTTCACCTCGCCCCCCCACCCACACCCCCCCCCATTTGCCTCCTTCAAAACCCGTTTTAAGTTCTCTTCGACAGCACCTTTGGTCACTCTCCTACCCCCACCCTCCCTGCCCTCCAACCCTCCTGATCCCAACCCCCAGCTTCAGGTCCAAATTCGGACATGAAAGTCACTATACAAATTTAATTTATTGTTGTTGTCTGTAATACTACTGATTACTTTGTAAATTTTTAGGAATTGATTTGGTTCCTCAGTGGAACAAACTATTTTGGTTCCTTGTTTTGCCGTCCTGCCACTTCTTTGCCCATTGTTACAACGCACTTAGGTGGAAGCTTTTTCATGTCATCGAGACGTCTCAAAGCTCTTCACAGAATATACTGTAAAGTGGATTCACTGTATATTTTGCGGGCGAAATACAGCAGCCAATTGCTCACAGCAGTGTCCCACAAAAGTTGTGGATTATTATTTTCAAGGGATAAGTAGCCCCGGAAAAGCGATCCGCCAATTGACTAACAACCTGGTTCTTACTTATTGCTGGAGTAGTCCATGATTTTAGGTTAAACATGCCTCCTGGCAATGTCCTACAAACAATGTGTTGGTCAGGACACTGGACGAACTTCTCTAAGTTCTGACTCACGGGATGTTTTAGGATCATCTGAACAGGCGGGAGCTCAGTTTAACGTCTCATCTGAAACGAGGGCACCTTCTCCGCTCTGCCCACAGCTCAGTGATAGTGTTAAGAGTCTCAGTCTCAACTGCGAGCAACGGATAGGGTTCGAATCTGAATTCACACATTTCTAAACCACAGGCAAGACCAAAGTTGAAGGGATCTGCTCAGCTGTCTCTGTCCTTCCGACCGCTATCCCCTTCTCATCTCCCCCTCACACCCCGGCCTCCACCCATCCCTCCCTCTTACACCTTCGAACCTGTCTCCTCCTCTCTCATCTATGCAAACTCCCTGCTTGTTGGTCTCCCCAACTCCTCCCTCCAGAGGCTGCAGATCATCTACAACCTCGTTCTCTCCCTCACCAGGCTCCGTGACCCTATCAACTCCATCCTCGCCCGACTCCACTGGCTTCCCATCATACATAGGGTACAGTTCAAGATCCTGGTCCTCGTCTTCAAAGCCCTCCACGGCCTTACTCCCATCTACCTCTGCGACCTTCTAATCCCCTACCAACCTGCCTGCTCCCTCAGCTCAGTGGGCACTGGCCTGCTTCACGTCCCCCGCCTCGCACCCCACCCCCCAATTGGCGGGCAGACCTTCTCCCACACTGCCCTCCACCCTCCCCAATCTGACCCTCAGCTCGGGTCCGAAACACTGACTGTCCAGCGCCTTGGGACGTCCTCCCGACGTGAAAGGTGCTTTTTGTTGTTATTGTTGCCGACTGAGCTGGACAAACACTGGTATTTGAAAGGAGTGCAGCGAAGCACTCTCTGAGTAGTTCACAACAATCTGGGTTTTCTAAGCAGGGCAGGGTTCAGATGAAGAGCAGATTGTTGGCCCAACACAAGGGAAACATTGACACTGTGAACTGGAGAGAGACGATCATATGCCACTCCATTATTCATGGCCCACTCCCTCCCTGCCTTTGTCGCCGAGGCTCCAATCATGAGTGACTCATCCTCATAAATAATGAAAGGGGCCGTTTCATCTCTCCAAAGAAATTGCTGTATTGTGCGACCTCTCTCCCAGGCTCCTTCCAAGTCTGTCGACGATCAGAGATAGTGAAATGGATCCGTCAATGATACGCTGCCTGCTTAACTGACAAAGAAAGAGGACAGGGCGAGTGATCGTGTAACCAGCTCCGACCAAAGCGACTGACATCTGTTAACCGAGGATTGGATCAATATGACAATTCTTAGACTGCGGATCTGGGAATACCAGCCTGGTACGCTACTCGCTACCTTCGGAGTCAAACCAGTCATGAAGGTTCATTAAAGCAAATGTAAGAAAGAACTTGCCTTTTTATAGCATCTTATCAAAATCTCTCAAAAGGAATAATAATATTACATGATCCCAACATCTGATACAGTGGCTATCATGTCTCGAAGCGATTCTGTGGGATTTCCAACTCATAACTTGCAGCTATAACTGTAGTGCTCTCTTTAGTACTGCGCTGCACTAGCATTCCAGACTCTTAATTCCTGTCAACAACAGCCCTTGCCCTGTGTGACTGACCAATTTTATGTGGGAGATTCTTGGCCAAGAGAAACTCCCTTCTCTTTTTGAATAGTGCCACAAGATCTTTAATATCCGCCTTGGTTCATCCAAAGGGCAGCATCTCTGATACTTCGCTGGTCAGCCTAGACCGAGTTCAAAGTCCCGACATGCCAACCTGGCTCAGTGATAGCGCTCTCGCCTCTGACTGGAAGGGTTCAAGCCCCACATCGGGTCTTCGAATCACATAGACTAAGCTGACGCTCCAATGCTTTGCTGGAGAGGTATTGCATTGTTGGAAGCGCCATCCTTCGGATGAAATGTTAAACCTAGATCCCATCTCCTTGTTCTGATGGGTGTTAAAGATTCCATGGCACTATTTGAAAAGAGAACAACAACAACAAAATATAGCGTTTTCTACTCCAGGTGGGGTCCCAGAGCGCTTAACAATGGCGGAGCCCGCTGCTGAGCCAGGGGGAGGGGGAAAGTGACCACAGGCACGGTTGAAGAGGAAGCTCTTCAGGCACAACCTGAAAGCTTGAAAAGGGAGTTTCTCTCTCCTGGTGTCCTGGCTAACAATCCCAATATAAAATTGGTCACTCACTCCACGCCTGTTTGTGGGTCACTGCTGCGTACAACTGGCTGCCATCTTTCGCCCAGAAAATACCGTCACTCCACTTTACAGTATATCTTGTGAAGCGCTTTGAC